ATTAGAATTCATCACTTCTAATAAGGCACAATGGCAAGTTGCAAGAAATTGGTTCATGCGTGAATAATAAATTGATAATTAATAGTTCATGAATTGAAATAGAATGGAATAGAAAGGCTTGTGTCATTGTACAGAAAAAGATACAACAAAATTGCCACAGCTGAACAATGCAAACAGAAACAGGCGGAAGCACACGATGGATACTGCACCTAAAGAATGTTCCACATGAGAGTGTGCACTTCAGATAGAATACATGACATCACATGTATATATCATGTATACTACATGTATATTACATGTACATGTACATGTATATCACATCTGATGCCACTGTTCCACACACAGAGCAACACTGACACCTGCTGTCTGCACACAGAACTACAGTCCACACCTCTGACTCTCTTCAGTCTCACACAGTCACACAAACAGTTTCCGGTGTCACGGTCAATTTAACAAAACGTCACTGCCTCAGATAAAAACATTGGAATTATGTATTTTAGGTGAACTGATTTAAAAACAAAGTCCGATCTGACTCCGACACCCCTCTTTCAGTCACTTGGTTCAGTCCGTACCCGGAAGTAGTATTGCTTGTTTACATCTCAGTCAGCTGACTTTCATTCACGTCTTCACACTGAAGCCGAGATGTTTCTTTACATCTGAATAACACGTGAACGTTAACGACACCGTGGTTTCTTCTGCTCAGCAGCTTTCATAGGCAATTTACTGCCGGTTAGCTTAGCATCGTGGAGCATTTAACCTGTGAGTTAGCAGTTAGCAGCTGGTTAAGCTAGCTGCTCTGCAGTGAAGAAAACTTAGTTTGAGCTGCTGACAGCGACAGATCCACAGAGGCTGTTCAACATGGACAAGATATCTAAAGGTGAGTGAAACCCACAGCAGAGAAAGGTCTTTCTTTGTTAGCATGTTAGCTAGCTCCTGTCTCAGACTACGATATGATGGGAGGCTAATCAAAAGGTCACATGACTGAGTTTAGCAGTGGAACTAACATCTGGATGTGTGAGCTGATCTTTAGAAAAATGCATTTTAGTTTGATAAGGACTGATAGTGTAGAGATCAGTTATAAAAATAATGATATGCAGAACCTGATATGAATGAAATGAAATGTTATAGCATGCAGGCTAGCGAACACAATAGTGTAAATCTAAGTGGATGTGTGTTGTTCCTGCAGATGTGGGTGATATCCAGTCCCGTCTGTTTCACCACAGACCCATCATCAACGCAGAGATCCGCTTCTTCGTGAGAGAGTTTGAGGTGATTACACGTGAAAACAAGCACCGATGAGCCACAACATGAGAACCAGTGACTGCTTTCAATGTTGTGGGTGACCAGTGCAGACTTACACACACACACACACACACTGTGTTAGGAGCCGAGCTGGGGCCCAGTAATGAAGACTGCCCTTCATCCAGAGGATTGAGATTGTGTGTGTCCACCTGCTGGTTCTGAGCCTAATCTTAAACCAGTTGTGGAAAAGTTCTGTTCTTTGGTCGTCAGCTGAGGTGCAGAACAAACTTGAGCAAGCATGCATAGAGTGGTGTATTCAGTGACTTGGCTCTACGGAAAAGCAAACAGGTTCTCAAAAGGTTTGCAAGTTGAATCGACTCCTAACGAGTCCTAGCACAACGTTTTCCACGAGTATCAGTGCGCTGTATGGCTGACATTTAGTTGTTGAACCAAACCTTGACATCCACGTGGAGGAGGAAACTAATCACACAATAGAACTGTTCTTACGATTTTCATTATTATCCATTTTGACAGTAGTGAGGCGTGTCATGGAGCAACATGCAAACTAAATGCCTGACCAGACACAAACGATTAAAATTCAATGGCATGTGTTTTTGGTGCGTTAAGTTTTTGTCTGTCTGTGTGGGGTGACACTAAACTCTCGGTTTTCCAGGAGAAACGTGGACACAGGGAGAGCAGACTGCTGAAGAATCTCAATAAAATGGTGGTGGAAGCAAATGAACAAATGCAGCCCACAGATTTAGAGGCTGTGAACCAGGATTTGATGTTCAACCTCACCAAACGATGTAAGTGTCCTCTCTCAGCTTTGTGTCAGACTTTGCTGTAATTGTCTCATTTCAAGCTTTTTACTGTTTATTTAGATGGAAAACCTTTGTTTTTGTATGCAACAGTTACTGAACTAGCTTCAGAATGCAGGCAATATTTGATAACACTGCATGTGAACTCACAAATGATAAAGTTCCCATTTTGACTTCCTGTAATGGTGTGATGAAACATTCTGTGGCAAATGATGGTCACATTTTGTCCCTTTTCTCTATTTCATTCTAAAAAAAAGGCATTGTTTTGTCTGAACTTGGCTTTCTATATTTTTGTGTCTTCCTCTCACAGTGGAGGCTGCTAATCATATGGCAGACAGAGTCCAGCAGAGGGAGCTAGAGGCACAGCAGGTAAAAACAACTCAGGCTCCGGCATCATAGCCTCATAAAACTGGATTGCATGACAGATAACACAGGCATTTCTTATATTGTGTCTTCAGCATGTATTCAAGGCAGAATGCCAACATCCAGAGTCCACAATGAGCTCTGCCTTACATCACCAGCATCGTCACTGTAGTGTGTGAATGTGTGTGAGTGTAAGGAGGTGTGAGAGATAACGTCGCACAAGAGGCATCACACACAGATTTGTAAAGTTGTTTAATTGAAAGTTACACTATAAAAACATATATTATAAACATATATATATATTTACTGTAATTACACTCAAAACTTTCCATCACTTTTCGCTGTGTTCCCATGTCAATTTTCCTTCCAGAGCAACCAAATGCAGCTGAACATGGAGCGTTTGAAAGAGGAATGGGCAGACTTCCTGAAGGAGCAGCAGAGACTAAAGGAGGAGGTGGATGAGGAGCACGCCAAAGCTGTGGGACAACTAAGCACCCACTACAGTGAAAAAAAGATGGATCTAGCTAAGTCTTCACCCCTCTAACCAGACGGAGTCTGTGAGACTTCGAGTCAACACACTCTCACTTATTATACAAACTTTATTACGGACCTGGGTACGTCTGCTCTGCATGTGCGAAATAAAGGATCGGATATGATTGATGTTAAAAGAGCCTCAGAGGTTTTGCTCCTGCACAAGAGTCAGCATTTCCCATATCATAAATATATGCATGATTAACAATGTGGCAATTTCACAGGCCATCAAACTCGTCTGTATTTACCACATGGCGCTCGCGTGGCACGCAAGTGCTGCGAGAAACGTCTGCAATATGTCATTTTTAAACAAGCAATCGTCGAAGGCCGTGACACTCTCTGCAATTCGGGATGTTTAATGGATGCCTGCCTGAAGGGTGCTTGATGATAAATATGCATCCACCTCCAGTTGAAAAGAATCCGAGAAACAAGCTCAAACAGAACTGCAGGACAAATCATCCCTCACCGGCTCCACCGTGTTTAGAACGTTCAGCATCTGACATTAACTTCAAGTCGCTTACGTTATAAAAGGTCTCCACTGAAACCAGTTTGAATGATCAGCAGCAGCTGCTTTTGGTTTGCTTTGCCACCTCAAAGCTGATTTTAATGAGTCACAAATCCAATGTTTGCATTGCTGGTTAAACAGAAGAAAAACATCAGTCATATTCTGGTTTCAATTTCCTGCTGGTCATAAAAAAATATCCTCACGTTTTCAGTGGTTGTCATGCTTTGTGCTTAGATTGTTTAAAATTCACAGGATGATAAACTTTCCAAGAGTTCATTTGTGTTTACGTGCAGTTCAAATACTCACTTTTGTGTTGTTTAGCACAGAGTAAATACACTGTAAATATGAATTACAAAAGAAGTTAAATCATCTCCATGTGTCGTGACCTTTGAGCTGAAAACCCTGCACACTCTAAATCAAGTGTTGTTGTTTTTTTGCTCCAGACAATGGTGGGTTGTTGGACAGGTTAATGGGTGGGTGGGCACACTGGGGACATTCTTGGCATGGCTGAGAACGGACTTCATCTCAGACGACCTAATAGAACAAATATTTTCACATAATTCCCTGTACATCCCTGCCACACACTCTTTTTCAACTGCCCAGACACCTTCAACTGTCAAAAGTCCTGTCATCGTCGGAAGAGGCAGGTTTGGAGCTGGCGTCATCCATCGGCTAAAGTAAAACATTTCTGTAAGAGCGGAATAAGAATAATAAAATAAACCCACAGTGGAGTGAGTGAATGCACTGCTGTATCGTCTTTTTCCATTTCGCTTGCAGTGACCCTGCAAGGCCGCTCTCTGGTCACTGCGCATGTGCCTGTGTGTGAGTCTGGCATCAGCGGCTCAGAGCGGGCACAGACATGCCATCAGATGTTTGGAGGAAACATGCTGCCCCGCGGGTGCTGCCCCTGTCTACGTCTGTGTGTGTGTGCAGGCCTTATACCTCCGCCTTGGGAGGTAGCTGTCCATCAGGGAGACAGCCCATCATCAGCTAATGAGGAGTGACAGTACGGAAACATGGCGAGCTTCTGCCAGCGAGGCACCGTTTCATCTGCCCTTGTTTATTTTACTTTTTCAAAAGGTTTGAAATAAAGAAGAAAAGAGCACATGAAAGGTCACAGTGAAAGTCCTGAGTGTTTGCTGTTCATGAGAGTCACATGCTTCAGTGTATGTTGGACTTAATATTACAAAGTACAAAGTTCCAATTAGACATGACCAATTTTGACATTGCCGTGAAATATCCGATTAAGAAATAAGTTGGAAGAATTTTGGATGAATTCTAGAATTTATTACTTGAGCATAAGTTAGAATCCCAAAGATTTATGACTCAACACCTAATTTGAGATAAAGATTAGATTAAGGGATGATGGTTGACTTGGTTTTTATTGGCTCACATCCACAAACCAGAAAAAAGAAACTGCCTTTAGTGATGGGGATGATGCAGTGTGGGTCAACTGCGAGGATATAGTACAGTACCTAAGAAAAAGTACTTTTACAAACTAGTTGAAATGGCCCTACAAAACCACTGCTGCCAATAAAACCATGTTCTTCACCGAACTGAACTGACATTTAGCAAAGTGTGAATAAGATCATGCATTTGATACCAAGGGTTTGTAAAAACAACAGCTTTCAAGATAGATGGGATGACAAAGACAAAGATGAAAATATCAGAATCTAGTGTATTGATCAATCTTATTCATCCTCTAGAGATACAAAACAGACATGACCTGCGAGATTATCGGCTGAGACTCTAGTTTATCTGGGCAGATATCATCAAGGATTTCTCAGTGTACTCAGGTGCTGCTGGTCCCAAAACTTTCCCTCTACACTGAGAAGAGCACACAGCTCTGTAAAACGACTCCATGTGCAGAATAAGGGGCTTGTGCTCGGCCTGAAATCCCCTGTTATCATTCTCGCTCTGCTGCCTCATGTCTCTGGACTGGAGTTGGCTTGTGTTTTGTCTCCTGTGTCCATCAGAGTGCAGTGTGCTCTTCCTGTTTTGCAAGCAGAGCGGTGCTCTCGGGCCACGGAGATGCCATTCCCCGTGCCAACATAAATGGTGAAGGAAACAGCAGCACCCAGCTGGAGCCCCACTGGGCAAGAGATGGAGATAAGGGGTGTGTTGGTTCATGCAATCTGACGTTCTGTCTGAAAAAAGCTTTCCATCTCCACTGGAACAGAATGAAATATATCACAGGGATGAAATGTGCAGATAACATGTAATGAGGACATTCACTTAAAAAACAGGATCTGATCTTTGTAATTTATACTTTACTGATGAGAGCCTGTGAGAACCGGTGAGGCTCTGCTTGAATGACGGATTCAGGCATGTGGTTAATGACGTCAGCTAGATGTGAAGTGAATGGGAAAAACAGTTACACCAATAACAATGAACATTTTGTATTAAGAACATATAAGGTTCATAGGGGTGGCTGTGGCTTGGGAGGGAGCGAAAGTCGTCCACTAACCAGAAGGTTGGTGGTTCGATCCCTTGCTCCTCTGGTCTACTTTCCTAAGTGTCTTTGAGCAAGATACTGAACCCCAAATAGCAAGTCTGTGCACGACAGTGTGTGATAGAAGAAGTACTTGTATTGTAAAGTGCTTTGAGCTGATGAGACTGCAAGTCCAATATAAATACAGTCCATTAACCACGAGAGCTGTGTTACTATAAGACAATAAAAACTATATTGTCCGTGTAAGGCTGCATATATGTCCAACTCCAGAGTACTAGTTAATATACTGGTTGAATCCATCTATTGTAACGACGACACACAGAACTGAACCCAAGAGCACGACAACAGACAGTCTTACTGTGGGCAACGTGGTTTATTTACCGACAGAGCAGAGAAAAGACAGGCAGAGGTCAAAACCAGGATATCAGTCTGTATAACAAACAAATCTGAAGAGGAAGGCAAGAAGGGAATCCAAATGGGGTCAGGAACAGACAGGCAAGAATACAGAATATAACACAGGATAGGCAGCAACACACCAGACAATCTGGCAGAGAGTGAATGAAACTGACCGGTATAAATACACAGATGAACTAATGAGGTAATGGGCTGCAGGTGAGAGTGTGTGTGTGTGTGTGTGTGTGTGGGGAGACTCAGGTGAAGGGAATGAGAGATGATTAGAAACAAGGCACTGGTAGATATTTGTAACATCTATAACCTCAACTACATTTTACCATGTGACACATGTATATCAGATCACTACATACTAATCATAAAAAGAAAATATGCTTATGATGTATAAGATTATAAATAATATATAGTAAGTGATGTAATCTATAAAAATCCTAAATCAACTTCATATTTAATAATTACCCTTTTGAATATATTGAGTTATACACGTTAGAATTTAATTTGAACCAGCAGCTATATGATCTCATCAAACATTGCTCTTTTATACGCTTCACAAATTTAAAAGTCCAATTTTTACTGCGTTGCATTGGTGTTGATGATGATGCGTATATAACCAGTACTATGAGAAAGTCAGTTCACTTTACATGGGATAAATGCAGCTTAATAATGTGTCCATTCACTCTCTTACTAGAAAAAAAAAATTAATTACTCTTGACGTCATACGACTGCTGCAGTTTCTACGAGGCTGACAGCAGACTTGGCTTTTCCAAGCGTTTTCTCTTTGGCCCGATCACCTTTCAGTTTGGTCGGCCGGTGAGAAAAAGCAGGCAACAGCAACACTGGTTCAGTCTTTTTGTGTCGGATCATTAGAAAGCTTGGAGCTTTTCACTCACCCCTCGCTCTGCAGACAGCTTATATGAGAATTTCCAGCCTCTGCGAGCTCAACTCTCTTTTTCTTTTGTGCAACGTGATGGGTCCCTGTTACTCAATTACCGAGGGGTCCAAATGAAAATGCCAGTGAACAAAAGCGCTGCGCTGCTAAGTTAATAACTTGGCTTAACTGCACAGCGTGGGTGCAGGGTCGGTGATGGGTGCTGGTTGGTCATGCAAAATATGAATTCTTTGGCAATGGCAACCGTTCACCTAGTGGATTGCTAAGTAAGAGCGGGAGAGTGAAAGAACTGAATACATGCATATTTTTTCTGAGGGAAGGTTGCAAGGCATGCTGGATATTCTCAGGACCTGACAGCTTTAGAAAACGACCACTTGTTGGCATATAAAGACAATCACTGGAAAGAAAGGAGTTCAAAATGAAATGTCCCCACTTTCACAAGAAATGCCAGCACCCCTTTATTAAGCTCTTCAGGGAAGGCTCACACTGGAGTATATCAGTTTTTATTCAGACTGACTCAGGCCAGGTCTCCCTTCTCCGTTGGAGACACACACACTCTATCGCTGTCTTTTGCGCTGTAAAGGCGGCACTAGATCTAATTAGCTGAGCTGTTTGTGATGTTTTCAGTTTCATTAGACAACCACCACACACCGGCTCCATGTTCGTGCCAGGTCCAAGAAACACAAGTCAGAGTCCAGCAACAACAAGCACCTTCCTCAGTCAATCATGGGGCGAACAATAGCCAGAGACGACGCAGAGAATGGCCTGACATCGACCGGTGGCCATCAGCAGCAGGAGAACTTGTTGTTGTCTAGATTCCTGACTTTAAAGGAATGTCTGGCGTCACTACTAACACATACCTTCTCACCGGCTTTGATTTTCCCTGTTTTCTGTACTTGACCAGGTATTTTCCTGATCTTATCTCCTGTTGTGGTTTCAATGATGCAAAATCAGCCGTCGTTGGAACAGAATGTGTCTTTTGTTATATTCTTATTTTTTAATGCAAGTATAATAACAACAAATATAATAAGAGAATTCTTTATTAGTCCCACAACTGGGACATTTGCACCAGTATATTCTATAAGTAAACATGCCATGTAAATATATATAAAAAATATAAATAGAAGAGGAATATAATATATAATGTAAACAGAATATATACAGTATGAGCAGAATATATAGAGTGTGACAGGATTGCTCATTAACCATTAAAATCTACAGATAGAAAAGAGTATTGCACAGTTAAATTAATTCAAACTTAGTGACTTCTCTGACCCCTATGCATCATGGGTAATCATCCCAGTAGTTTATGTGTAATGCTCCTAACTAACAACCAAACAAAAGCCAATGAAAACATAACGTCATGGGTGGAGGTAACCAGTTGGTTTCACTGTTGAGTCTGATGTGTATTTCTGATAAGTCCCAGCAGCCATGGAAAATAATGAAAGAGCAAAAGAAGTTTTAAATCACCTCACTGATGGTTCTGAAGTTGCTCTTTCAGAACAGGTCATGGATATACAATCAATCTGCCACAACATTAAAACCAGTTATCGGTTCTACTGTTGTGTCTGATCGGTGTATTAACGTAACTTTCAGGAGACAGACTTGGATTTTTGTGTCTCTGTGTGCATGTTTGGAGCAGGGGAGTCTTTCCATGGAGACACGCTCTTGGCAGATGAATGCAGGGAGTGGACTCCCTTCAATAAAGGCAACTCTCTGTCTTTCAGGGGCCCGGGACGGCCCTGGGCTTTACTTTTCATTGTTTCCCTCCCGTGTGTCTCTGAACTCAAGTGGGCTGCTGCTGCTGCTTCGTTTCAAACATAATGGCTTTACCTTGAGGCTGAGAGAGAGGAAGAGTCAGAGGGAGTGAGGGGTCCAGAGCTAAATGTGTGACTCACCCACCGAATGCCCATATTAAGTACTTTCATCTTGTTAGCACTCAATCATCGCAGCTAAATGTTTTTTTCATTCTGATTACATACCATGCACAGCACACAAAGATGACACATATAAATTAATCAGGTTTAACTGTTTACATGGTAAAATGTTTGTTTTGATTGGTTAATAACAAGAGATAAACTACCACTCTGCAAGTGTGGACAGCCTGAGCGTGTCAGGACATTGAGATGATATTTTGGCAGATTTTTGACATCGCATGTAATCGGGAAAAACAAGCTATAACCATGTGTCAGGTGCAGTGTAACAGCAACTCTCAACTGCATCAGGCTCCGGTTGGGTTTGGACACAAAAAACAAAACACCTGTTGGGTTCTGGCTGGGCT